TTTTATTTATTTCTAGGAGAGAGAGAGAGAGAGAGCGTGAACAGGGGAGGGTCAGAGAGAGAGGGAGACACAGACCCTGAAACAGGCTCCAGGCTCTGAGCTGGCAGTCAGCACAGAGCCCGACGCGGGGCTGGAACCCACGAACCGTGAGATCATGACCTAAGCGAAAGTCAGATGCTTAACCGACTAAGCCACCCAGGCGCCCCTAATGTTTATTTATTTTTGAGAAGGAGGGAGACAGAGCATGAGCAGGGGAGGGGCAGAGAGAGAGGGAGACACAGAATTTGAGGCCGGCTCCAGGGCTTGAAGTCACGAACTGTGAGCTCATGACCTGAGCCAAAGTGAAACGCTTAACCAACTGAGCCACCCAGGTGCCCATGAGATGGCTATTAACAAAAAGACAAGAAACAAGTGCTGGTGAGGATGTGGAGAAAAGGGCACCCTTATGCGGTGTTTATGGGAATGTAAATTGGTGCAGCTATTCTGGAAAATACTATGAAGGTTCTTCCAAATATTAAAAGTAGAACTACTATAAGATCAGCAATTCCACTTTTAGTTATTTATTTATCTCAAGAAAACAAAGACACCAATTTGAAAAGATTTATGTGCATTCCTATGTTCGGCACAGCATTATTTACAATAGCCAAGGTACAGAAGCAGCCTAAATGTCCACTGACAGATAGAAGGATAAAGAGGAAGTGGTAAATATATAGAAGGGAATATTACTCAGCCATAAAAAGTGAAATCTTGCTACCTGTGACAACACAGACCTAGTGGGTATTATGCTAAGTGAAATAAGTCAGACAGAGAAAGACAAATACCGTATGATTTCCCTTCTATGAGGTACCTAAAAAACAAAGCAGATGAACAAAACAGAAACAGAATCATAGATACAGAGAACAAACTGGTGGTTGCCAGAGAAGACGGGGGTAGAGGGAAAGACAAAATTGGTGAAAGGGATTAAGAGGTACAGTCATGTATTCGATGATATTTTAACAAGTTTGTGGAGTGACAGATGGGTCTAGACTTATTGTGGTGACCATTGCATAATGTATATAGACATTGAATCACCAGGGGTGCCTGGGTGGCTCAGTCAGTTAAGTGTGACTTTGGTTCAGGTCATGATCTTGTGGTTCGTGGGCTCGAGCCCCCCCATCGGTCTCTGTGCTATCAATGCAGAGCCTGTTTTGGATTCCCTGTCCCCCTCTCTCTCTGCCCCTCCCCAGCTCACACACACTCTCTCTTTCTCACAAAAATAAATAAACATTAAAAATAAATAAATAATGGGCACCTGAATGACTCAGTCAGTTGAGCTCTGACTTCAGCTCAGGTCATGATCTCCAGTTCATGAGTTCAAGCCCCACGTCCATCCACTACTGTCAGCCCAGAGCCCGCTTCAGTTGCTCTGTCCTCCTCTCTCTCTGATACTCCTCGGCTTGCGCTCTCTCAAAAATAAATAAATGTTTAAAAATAAATAAATAAATACAACCTTAAAACAAACAAACAAATAAATATTGAATCATCATGTTGTATACCTGGAACTAATGTTGTATGTCAATTATTCTTCAATTTTTCAAAATTAGGCCAGCTTGGTTCTGTTTTAAGGGACAAAAAAAAGCTGGTACATGGAAGACAGATTGGAAGACATCCTAAAGAACTCACAGACGAAGGCTGTGAGGGAATTAGGAACCCTATGGTCAAGGCAAGTCTAGATGGGCTCTAATTGTTGAGATTTTATCATCTGGAAATGGTATGAACAAAGGCCACCCGCTCTAGCAAGGTACTAAATTAACCACTTAAATTTCAAAAGCAAATGTACATTCTGACACTATTTATGTGAAATTAAAAACAGACATCTATGTTGCATACTGTTTATGGATGTACACTATGCAGCAAAACTACAAAAACATAAATACAACATACCCTCACCAACTGCCAACTTTAGAACAATGGCTCCCAATGGGGAAGATAGAAGAGGCAGGGGATGGGGGAATGTTGGCTGTTTCTGCAATGTTTTTTTTTTTAAGGATCTAAGGCAAAAATGGCAAAAAGTGAATATTTGTTAACTCTGAGTCATGGCTGCATAAGGTGTTCATTGTAATGGTCCCAACTTCACTGGGCTTTTATGAAGAATGAGTTAATTCATTGAAGGTGTTTTGAATAGGACTGGTTCCTTACCGCACTCAGGTATGAAGTATTAAAATCAGTTATTGTTGGGGCGCCTGGGTGGCTCAGCCTGTTAAGCGTCTGCCTTCAGCTCAGGTCATGATCTCACGATTCATGGGTTCAAGCCCCGCATTGGGCTTGACATTGTGCTGACATCTCAGAGCCTGGAGCCTGCTTCAGATTCTGTGTTTCCCTCTCTCTCTGTTTCTCCCCTGCTCGCATTCTCTCTGTGTCTCTCAAAAATAAACATTTAAAAAAACAAACAAAAAAATAATCAGCTATTGTTTCTGTGTGCTTTAAGGGTTTCTGAATTTTTAAGATACATATTTAAGAAAAATAACCATGCCACGGGGAAAATCACCTATGAACTTCCGAGCACTTTCAAATCGTTGTGCTAATCAGTACAACAGCAAAATGGCATTCAGTATGATCCAGACCATCCACTAGCCACAGTGCTGTAGTGTGAAATGGACAATACTGCAGATGCATCAAAAGAAAAATTGGGGGCACCTGGGTGGCTCAGTTTTGGGTAAGTGTCTGAATCTTGATTTTGGCTCAGGTCATGATCTCATGGTTTGTGAATTCCCTGCGTCTGGCTCTGCACTGACAGTGTGGAGCCTGCTTGGGATTCCCTCTCTCCCTCTCTCTGTCCCTTGCCTGCTTGTGCTCTCTCTCAAAATAAATAAATAAACTTAAAAAAAGAAAGCAAGCTAAGCGGTGGATCTATCAGACCTTCTAGCTGGGTTTCCCTTAAACTTCTTTTTTTAAAATTATTTTTAGTGTTTATTTAGTTTTGGGGGGGGAGGGAGAGAGAGAGAGAGAGAGAGAGAGAATTCAAAGCAGTCTCCAGGCTCCAAGCTGTCAGCACATGGGGCTTGAACTCATGAACCAAGAGATGATGACCTAAGCTGAAGTTGGATGCTTAACCAATTGAGCCACCGATGCACCCCTCCCTTGAGCTTCTTACTATATTAAGTTTAAATTCAGACTACCATCACCTATAGGGGCATCTCTGCCAGTTTAGAAGATTGGTACTTGCAGGGACCTCCCTTCCCTTCTACGGCCGAGGACTAGAAGTCCTTACTAAGGAGCCCAGCACAGGCCGACTTGCAGCAGGAAGAGATGAGCACATCCTCCATCCAGCAGGTCATCTGCAGAGATCTTTCGACTGGCTTCACAGAGCCACCAAGGTTGCAAGGACCCTTAAAGATTCTCTAATCTTTCTATCTTTAGGGAATCGAAAACTAGGGTCCCGAGAGGGGATAGGACTTGTCTAACATTGACCAGCCACTCAGTGGCAGGTCTAGGAACAGAACATGGGGCTCCCAACTTTTCTGTAGAGGCTACACGCTCTTTTCCAGAGATTGCTCTGCCTTCCAGCCCGGGAAACAACGTTAGCTGGGATGCAGCTCCCTTTAAAAACAATTAATCTCTTCCATGGAATCCTCTCTTGGTCCAGAGAGGAAATATGAGACTGTGATGGCCCTGTTCGTACAGCACACACCACGGACATTACCAAATGGCAGGCCCGGCGGCCCGGGACACCAGCTGGGACCTTGGATGGATGGAGAAGGATTCTAATGTGTGGCTGGGCACCAGAGTCTTCAGTTCTAGAATGATCAAATTGAACATTGAAAGGCTGCCCACTGCATACGGAGGTGAGGACCGTGGCGAGAGATGGGGATGGGGACAATGACAAGCAAGAGAGACCCCACCAAGGCCCAAGAGCACTGAATGCCGGCTAGGCAGAAGGCTGGAGGGGAGGGTAATTGCTAAGGAGACCGGAGGGGAGCGCTAGGAAGCTGCTGAGAGACTATGATGGGGGATAGGGAGGGGGTAGGTGGCGACTAGAGAGAGTGAGCTAAGCCAGGAGGTTATTTAATTATTCCAGATACACCTTTCCTCAGAAAGGATTCCAGTCGGTTTGCAAGGACACACAAGGTAGGTCAGGGCAGCGTAAATTAAATACAGAAAAACAAGGGTGGGCAGAAAGCAGAGCCAAGAATAAGGATAGAAATGCATACCATAAAAGCCTCTGCTCCCGCGAGGGATGGGCCCAAAAGTTGGCTATGAGCTTTCTAGCAGCCAACAGGAAAGGGGAAACCTTGTTGTTGCACAATTCACAATGTCCAGGAGATAAAAACAAACTCATTGCTCAGAAGGGCGACTGTTCTTAGTACTCAGATCAGACAGGAATTCCTCCCGGGGGTCCTCAGAGAGGATGCTGTGGGATACAATGAACGACATCCTTGACAACATCCTTACAATAGCGGTAGCAACGAGTTTCAAAGGGCTGTTTTTCATAAGGACCCTCAGGATCCACCGCCTGTATCCCACTGCAGCCA